GATTGAAACAACCAACAGAAAAGGACGACCCAATGTGCAAGAGTGATAATAATCTTGACAATTTGCTTGCTTTCCAGACATGATAACATAAAGATATTGAGAAGAAAGTGTTAAGAAATTCCTTGCTTTTTGTCCTTTTTTCCAGTGTACGAGGTTATGGGAGAATCACAAATGCCATGTGGGTCAACGGAGTATGGAATGACGTAATAATTCCAGAGTCCAAACTGCAAACCAAAGAGAAAAGGATCATTCCTAGCTGACAGCTCTCGCACAATTAGGAGCTCACCCAGTAAGTTATACGTGCACGACTCTGATTCTTCCCTGGTGATTTTCTACTAGAGGCGGAGAGGCGCTGCTTGAACCGGCGGTTTTTGGCTGGTAGGTGGGAAGTAGATTCAGGATTTTTGTTAGGGTTGTTATCTAGGGACTTTTTTTGGTTAGTGGAATCAAAGTGAAATTTCGACTGATGAATCTACGAGAGCTGACACGTCATCCTTTTGTAGGTGTTGCGACCCTCAGGAGGCAAATTTATCGAGGGGGTTTGACGGATCGTCAAATGAGCGCGAATGGTGCCTCTTACAAGACGACAATGGTACTTGCCTCCGGTTCTTTCAAACCATACCAATCATGATTTGGCTTTGACTCGGTTAATTATGAAAGTTTTGGTTTTTTTTTTTTTTTAAGATGATACAATCTAAATGTTCTACAAATGTATTACAACATCTATTTACAAGAATTCTAATTTCCCTAACCATGCAATTAGTATGATGCTAATGCAATACGAAACCCTATAAGACTAAACAAACTTGTTATAAAATTGCTTCAGTACTGCACGTGTTCTTTGAATACGTTTTTTTTTCTTTAGTTTGTTTCAGTTAATAAAATCATGTTATCCTAGTCTTTAGGAAGTAGTTAGATATGTTGTTGGGATTTTTATCCACGATTCTCTCACTTTCAGTTTGTTTCAACTTTAAATTTAAGATCGAGAAATCAAATAGTTGCAGTTTTCCTTATTGGCTGCATATCCGTATACTTCTTTTCTTCTTCAGCACTTCAATCCTCTGTTTTTTTTCATCTTTAAAAACTCACAAATCGGTATCAGAGCACTCTTCTTGAGGGTCTGTGTGTGAGTTTGACGCGTCATGGAAGCCGAAGCCAGTTTCTCATCAATTGCTCCGCCGGTGTTCGACGGAGACAATTACCGGATTTGGGCAGTACACATGGAGACATACTTGGATGCCTTGGACCTTTGGGAAGCAGTGGAAGAAGACTATGAAATTCCTGCTCTTCCAAACAATCTCACCATGGCACAGATCAAAGCGCAGAAGGAGAAGAAGACGAACAAATCAAAGGCAAAGGCCTGCTTGTTTGCTGCAGTCTCATCCACCATCTTCACTCGTATCATGTCTCTGAAGTCAGCAAATGAGATATGTGATTATCTCAAGACCGAATATGAAAGAGACGAAAGGATCTGAGTGATGCAAGTGCTGAATCTAGTACGTGACTTTGAGTTGCAAAAGATGAAGCAGACTAAATCCATCAAAGAGTATTCTGACAGGTTGCTTAACATTGCAAGCCAAGTCAGACTACTCAGCTCTTCTATGCCAGAATCAAGGATTGTTGAAAAAATCCTTGTAATGATGCCTAAAAAATTTGAGGCCACGATTACATCCTTAGAAAACACTAAGGATATGTCAAAAATCACTCTAGCAGATCTGTTAAATGCTTTACAAGCGCAGGAGCAAAGAAGAGCTATGAGGCAGGAAGGCGAAATTGAAGGAGCCTTACCTACAAAACATCATGAAGCTGACAAAAACAAGAAGAAAAAGAAGAAAAGCCAAGAGGGAAATTCGGTCTTACCTGCTTCGAGTAGCAACAAAAGCAGAAATGGAAATTTCAATGGTAAATACCCTCCTTGCCATCACTGTGGGAAGAAAGGTCACCCTCCATTCAAATGTTGGAGGAGACCTGACGCCAAATGTTCGAAATGCAATCAGCTCGGACACGAGGCAGTAATATGCAGGAATAAAAATCAGGTGCAGGAAGCAGATGCTCAAGTTGCAGACCAAGAAGAGGAGGATCAATTGTTTATAGCCACTCAAGCAGAGAATCAAATGTGAGTTGGCTGATAGATAGTGGTTGTACAAACCACATGTGATATGAATCTATGCGGAAGATGATTGTTCTACGAAGATCTGTGAGTTACGAATTGCTGACCTCGACCCCCAATCGAATCTATGATTGGTAATCTCGGTATGAACGCGACCTATTGATGAACCTGTGTCAACCAATCCACGCTATAACGCCACGAACAAGAGAATTCGCGATCTTGCTCGATAAGTTGAATTCGATCGCCACAAGGGAGCCTTGATAAGATCTAGTCCTCAAGAGAACTCAAAAGGAAACTTCTCTATATAAAATTCTGCCTCCTCTTAGAAATCTATAAGCAACCTTATATAGGGTGCTAACCCTAATCCTAACCCTACTAGGATTAAAATTACAAAAATAACCTTAATTACTAACAATTCGTCCAAAAATGGAAAAAGGCCTAAAAGTTCATCTAAACGACTCTAAATAGCTAAAAAACGTCATCAATCACTACTAAAGTAGTGAGTATTGATCAGCGGCCCGTTTCCAAGCGTCCATCCAAATTTGAGCCAATTCGGAGTTCGTCAATTCTAAGCTATTTCGGAATTCGCTGGACCAAGAGTAATCATGTTGCGCCAAGGAGCTTCAGAATCTTCAAGTCTCGAATCCAGATTATCTCCATTCCAAATATCTTGAACCATGATGCCGACAGCTTGTTTGAATTCCTTCGCTCTCGCTCGAGTGATCGGGCCTAGTGGATAGAACAACGGGTCCCTAGCACCTCCTTCTCGATAGGGTTCGATGTCCACATCAACATGACTCACAATCGAAGTCTTTTCAAAGAGTTGAAGCCCACGGCAATCACAAAGGTCAGAATAGGAAATGGTAACCATATTCCGATGAAGGGAAAGGGAACCATTGTCATCTCAACAAATTCAGGTACAAAGTCAATTTCAGATGTTCTCTTTGTACCTGATATTGACCAAAATTTGTTGAGTGTTGGTCAGCTCACTGAAACAGGATTCAAGTTGTTTTTTGAAGATAAACTTTGCCTCATACAAGATGCAAATGGAAAGGAAATCGTCAAAGCAAAAATGAGATGCAAGAGCTTCTCATTTGAACCAACCACAGAGGAGCAAGCTGCTTATTCCACGGAGGAGAATGTGACTGAGACCTGGCACAAGAGACTAGGCCATTGTCACTTTTCAAGAATGTTGCTGATGAAGAAAAAGGAGTTGTCAAATGGTTTACCAGTCTTTGCAGACCATTTATCGAATTGTCATGCCTGTCAATTCAGTAAACAAAATAGAAATCCATTTCCTAAGTCGACTTGGAGAGCCTCTCACAAGTTGCAACTAATCCACACAAATGTTGCTGGTCCTCAAAGAACTCAATCACTCGCAGGTAGTCGGTACTACGTTATTTTCATAGATGATTTCAGTAGAATGTGTTGGATATTTTTCATGAAGCATAAATCAGAAGTGGTTGGCACGTTCTGGAAGTTCAAGAAAATGGTGGAGAAGCAAAGTGGCAGCAACATTCAATGCATTAGGTCTGACAATGGAAGAGAGTATACTTCAGAGCAGTTTAACAAGTTCTGCGAAGAATCTGGCATCGAGCACCAACTCACCGCTCCCTACACTCCACAGCAGAATGGAGTCAGTGAGCAGAGAAATAGATACATAATGGAAATGACTCGATGCATGCTTCATGACGAGGAGTTGCCAAAGAATTTCTGGGCTGAGGTAGCAAGCACTACGGTTTTCTTGCAGAATAGATTGCCTACCAAGGCATTAGAGGACAAAACTCCATTCGAGGCATGGTATGGCTATAAACCTTCACTCAATTTCCTTAGAGTGTTCGGTTGTAAGTGTTTCTCTCACGTTCCACAAGTCAAGCGTGATAAACTTGACAAGAAGTCAGAACCGGGCATCTTCGTGGGTTACAGTTCTTCCTCCAAGGCCTACAAGGTGTATCAACCTCAAACAGGGAAGATAATTGTCAGTAGAGATGTGTTCTTTAATGAAGATGAGAAGTGGAACTGGAAATAGACACAAGAGACATCCACGAGCAAGCAGAAATCAAGTCTTCCCTTCCAAACAATAGAAGAGCGAGCAACGGAACAGTGGCAAGAAGAGTTGGAAGATGATCCACCAATCCATGGAACAAGACTGCTCTATGATATCTATCAGAGATGCAATGTGGCCATTTGTGAACCTGCAGGGTATGAAGAAGCTATTAAAGACCAGAACTGGAAGAAGGCAATGGAATAGGAGTTGTCGATGATAAAAAAAAAATAAGACTTGGGAGCTTGTCGACAAACCGAAGGATAGAAAGGTTATTGGAGTAAAGTGGGTGTTCAGAACCAAGTTAAATGCAGATGGTTCCATCAACAAGTACAAGGCTAGACTTGTAGTTAAGGGTTATGCATAGATTTTTGGTGTTGATTATTCAGACACCTTTGCACCCGTGGCTAGATTGGATACCATAAGACTCTTGCTAGCAATTGTAGCTCAAAAGGGTTGGAAGGTGTTTCAACTAGATGTAAAATATGCATTCTTGAATGGTATTTTGCAAGAGGAGATCTATGTTGAACAGCCCGAGGGATTTGTGGAACAAGGTGAAGAGGAGAAGGTCTACTTGCTCAAGAAGGCTCTATACGGCTTGAAACAAGCACCTAGAGCATGGCATAGCAAGATAGATGAGCATCTGTCAAGCCTCGGATTCGAAAAAAACATGTCAGAGGCTACTCTTTATGTGAAACATAAGGGAGATGATCTGCTTATAGTTTCTCTTTATGTTGATGATCTCTTAATCACATGTGGTAATGCCGAGCTTGTTGAAAGTTCAAAATAGAAATGATGCAGATCTTTGAAATGATAGACCTTGGACTAATGACATACTTTCTGGGAATGGAGATTAAGCAGTTGGAAGATGAAGTTTTCATCTATCAAAAGAAGTATGCCAAGGAAATTCTCAAGAAGTTTCGTATGGAGGATTGCAAGGCAATGGCCACTCCAATGAATCAAAAGGAGAGCTTGAGCAAAGAGGACGGGACTGACAGAGTTGAAGAGGGTTACTTTCGAAGTCTGATTGGTTGTCTAATGTATCTCACGGCATCAAGACCAAACATTTTATTTTCTGTAAGTCTCTTATCTCGTTTTATGCATTGTGCTACTAAAATGCACTTAAGAGCAGCAAAAAGAGTAGTGAGATACATTAAAGGAACAATTGAATTTGGTGTGAAGTTTAAGAAAAGCCAAGATTTCAAGCTGTTAGGATTTTCTGACGGTGATTGAGGAGGTTCGGTGGATGATATGAAAAGTACCTCTGGTTATTGTTTTAGTCTTGGCTCGGGAATTTTCTCATGGTGCTCTAAGAAGCAGGAAGTTGTAGCACAATCCATAGCAGAAGCTGAGTTCATAGCAGCCACAGCAGCAGTTAATCAGGCAATTTGGCTAAGAAAAATTTTATGTGATTTGAACCTGAAGCAGTGGAACAACACGGAAATTCTTGTTGATAATCAGGCAGCAATTGCAATTTCTCACAATCCAGTTTTTCATGGGAAGACTAAGGTACCGCATGATAACCATTCTGGTTCTGTCCAGAACTGGTTTTTTATTTCCGGAATCAGTTTTGGACCAGAAATCCGTTTGATAACGTAATTTTATTTTTCTATTTTTGGGACAAGTTTTATCCCAGAACCGGTTCTGAAACCAGAAATCAGAACCTAAAAAAAGTTGGTTTTTTATTTCTTGAACAAAACTCAGAACCATTTATGAGGAACTCATTCTCAACGTCTGTCTCTCGTCTCCTCTGATCTCTCTGATCTGCCCGTCTCTCTCTGTACTCTCTCTGTCGCCGTCGAGAGGAAGCCAGCCGCTCGTTCGCTCGCTCCGACCGAGAGGAAGCCAGGGCCGCTCGCTCGCTCGCTCCTGCTCCACGTAAGCTCCGATCGTGCGCTGGATCTCCTCTCATCTCTCTCTTTTCTGGATATGGAAGTCGCCGTCGTCGGGGGGGTCAGCTTCGGCCTCGCCATGGCCAGCGGTCGACCTCGCCGTCGCCCAGATCTGGGTGACGGCGAGGTTGGCCGCCAAACCTGGGCGAGGCCGCTCGGCCTCCCCCTCCCCTCTCTCTCTGTCTCTCTCTCTCTCTCTCTCTCTCTCTCTCTCGGCGTTTGTCTCCCATTCGTGTTTCGATTCTTTCGTTCTTTCGTGGGCGAGTCGATTCGCAGCGCAGCTCGCGAGCCCCCTTTCGCGTTTCCGGCAGCCGATTCACCTGCGAAGGACGAGGGCTTTGTCGCGGCACAGGCTTCGGCGTCCGGGGTACGCGGGTCGGGTCGGGCCGGGGCGGGGGTTGGTCTCAGCGTCGCCGCCTGGGTCCGCCGCCGAATTCCTAGGGTTTCGGCTTCCGGCGCCCCGACGAATCGGGATTTCTTTGTGGGGGCGGAGAGAGGTACCCGCGGGAGCTTCGGTTTTGTTTCCGAATTTAACTCGCTCGCATTGATGAGCGGGGGAGCTCGATATCCGTCGGTCGTGTGTTTGTGTATGTGTTTTGTTGTTGTTGTTGTGTTGTTTTGATTGATTTGTTCGTGAAGTTCGAGTCCCCACGGCTTCTCTTTGTTGGGATTGGGGGAATTGCTTAATCTTTACTTTTTATGCTCGCAATTGAACTTTTTTTGGTAGTATTCCCTCGTCTGGGTGTCATTGTGTATCGTGCGATGGGGGTAATGCGCCAATTCACGTTGCTTTAATGGAGTCTTCCAGGACAAATTCAGCAAGTGGTGAATTGAGGAGGGCCTTTCGTGTGTTGCTGTTTTGGTAGTGTGCAGTGGCAGACTTGATCGGGGCTTTGCTGATTGACGATTAAATGTTGTTTTTTGTCAGTCTCTTCGCAATATGGTAGGAATAAGTTTTGCTTAAAGCACGCGGAGGGTGGTTAGGTTGACCACTTGGGATGGAGTTGATGAGTTTGTTTCCCCGAATTATCTAGTCACCACTTTTATTTTGGTTATTCTTAGAATTTGACTTATTTCAAAGGCTCAGGATACCCATCTACACTTTGCATGGATTATACAGTTTATGGTGTCATTTATGGTCTAAAGGCATATTCTAGAGTGGTGCATTTACTCCAATGTCCAATTTAGGATTTTGTGAATGGATTAGAAATTAATATTATACTATTGCTTTCTTTCTTTATTTCCTTTTTTTTTTCCGTTAATCAGTTGGGAGAGCCAATATATATTCATTTGTTTAAAAATGTGAATGATAGAAGAAATATAGACATCTCCTGGCACATATACTCCGTATATCAACTTCATATCAGAAACTTCATCTAGTGAAGTGCACTTTTAGTTGCTATGTTGTGAGAGATCACTTTTTGGAACTTGATTAATGGGGCTATGAGATTGTGTGTTTAAATTCTTTAATATCATTGATATGCATTTTCATGCCTTTTGAGGGACTGATTGGTAGATTTGTGGGTCATTGGAAATAACATATAACAGCCTCAGTTCTTTGGCTGCAGTTTCATTTTCCGAATATCTTTGGATTTGCATTTGTTTTTGTGCTGTCCTAGCATAATGTTTTACTTTTTGGGAGTGGTAGTGTTTCCTTCTGTATTGGCATCTTTGGAGGATACATGCCTTTGTTATTCTATTTTTGGCGCTGGAGGAAGGGAAATATTCTAATGTAGTTTTTGCAATAGTGTCTGTATTGGTGTTGATTGATAGCTAAAGTACATTGGGTGTTGGCTCGTTGGGTATGTCATTGTTCAAGTTTGTCATGTATGGCCGAGAATTAAGGTGACTTAAGCATGAAGTTTAAGGGTGTGTTTGGATAAGCTTTTACGTTTTGCTTTTTGCTTAATTCAAATCTTGCGACTAACGCACATTGACTTTTTTTTTTTGCTTGTTACACTTGAATTTTTCAGGTATAAGCTGCTGCACCTGTAAGTAAAGGAGAACTCGGGAGGGCCATCAATTGGCAATTGATAATAATATGGCGGAGATTCCATGAAAATGTGTTTCCGACTTTTCTAATGTATTTCCATTATTTTGTATTTGAGGATTTTTTATGTTAGCTCTTGTAATGTGACGTGGTATTTTGGGATCTCCTACTATATTGGCTCTTGTAATGTGATGTGCTTGGTTTACTTTTCTCCATAAGCATTTGGGATATTATGAGGAACGTTGCATACTCACAAATATTGAGAGCAAATATCGAGAGCGATGGTGGTTGAATGCTAAAGACCCGTTCCAGTGCTTGGCCATTTGCATTAATTTGACTGGAATTTGTGTGCGGGCGTACGTAACGTTACGAATCCAATGTAAAATTTAATTTCAAAACTTCATAGAATGGTTTAGAATATATGTGGTCACCTACTTTGAGGAAATTTAAATTTTTTAGGTGTCGAAAAAAATAAAAAAATTAAAAATTTCAAAACTTCACAGAATGGCTTAGAATATTTGTGGCCACCCATTTCGAGAGAAATTCAATTTTTTTGAGATTTCACAAAAAAATTAAAAAAAATCAGAAATTTCAAAACTTCACAGAATGTCTTAGAATACATGTGGCCACCCGCTTTAAGCGAAATTTTAATTTTTTTAGGTGCAAAAAAAAATCAAAAAATTAAACAATAAAAAATTTCAAAACTTCACAGAATGGCTTGAAATACCTGTGGCCACCCACTTTAAGTGAAATTTAATATTTTTTTAGGTGACGAAATAAAAATTAGAAAAGCAAAAAATCAAAAATACCATTTGGGCACCTCAAAAATTTTATATTTCACTCAAAGTGAGTGGCTACAAGTATTCTAAGCCAGTATGTGAAGTTTTGAAATTGTTGATTTTTTATTTTTTTTTTGCACCTAAAAAAATTTAAATTTTGCTCAAAGTGGGTGGCCACAGGTATTCTATAAGCCATTCTATGAAGTTTTGAAATTTCTAATTTTTTTTAATTTTTTTTGAAATCTCAAAAAAATTAAATTTCTCTTGAAATGATTGGCCACAGGTATTCTAAGTCATTCTGTGAAGTTTTGAAATTTTTAATTTTTTTAAATTTTTTTGGGCATCTCAAAAAAATTAAAATTTACTCAAAAAGTGGGTGGCCACAGGTATTCTAAGTCATTTAATGAAATTTTGAAATTTTTTTATTTTTTATTTTTTTTTTATTTTTTTGGGCACCTAAAAAAATTTAAATTTTACTCAAAGTGGGTGGCTACAGATATTCTAAGAATTCTGTGAAGTTTTGAAATTTTTGATTTCTTGATTTTTTTTTAAAAAAGTCAACAAAATTCATATTATCCAGAAATCTGAATTTTTTTTATTTTCTCGACATTTTGATGATTTTTTCTGGAATTTTTCAATTTTTTGGGATTTTCTGAATTTTTTGGAGATTTTTATGAATTTTAATACCATTTCTAAAAAAATGGATTTCTGTTCCTGGAAATAGAATTTTATGTTGTTTATCAAACGGGTTTTTGTTTCAGGAAATAGAAATTTTGTGCTGTTATCAAACGGGTTTCTGTTCTAGAAATAGAAATTTTTTATCGTTATCAAACGGGTTTTTTTTCTCAGAAACTCATCCAGGAACCAGAAATAGAAAAATCTATTTCTGGTTCAGGAACTCATTCCGGAACAGAATGGTTATCATTCGCTACCTAAGCATTTGAAAATCAAGTTTTCTTTCTAAGGGAAGTGCAGAAAGAAGGCGAAATTGCACTTGTTTACTGCAAGTCAAAAAATCAGTTGGCAAATATTTTCACGAAGCCATTGCCTGTAAGCAAATTTGAAGATCTAAGGAAGAAGCTCGGGATTTGCAGCACCTAAAGCAAGGAGGAGTGTTATAATATTGCTTCAGTACTGCACGTGTTCTTTGAATACGTTTTTTTTTTTCTTTAGTTTGTTTCAGTTAATAAAATCATGTTATCCTAGTCTTTAGGAAGTAGTTAGATATGTTGTTGGGATTTTCATCCACGATTCTCTCACTTTCAGTTTGTTTCAACTTTAAATTTAAGATTGAGAAATCAAATAGTTGCAGTTTTCCTTGTTGGTTGCATATCCGTATACTTCTTTTCTTCTTCAGCACTTCAATCCTCTGTTTTTTTCATCTTTAAAAACTCACAAAACTAAATGCAAATATAACATGAAATTTGATTCGAATCTACAACATGACGCAGAATTTATAACACGAACACATGATCAATATTATTTAATTTAAATTTTTTGTTAAAAAAAAGTCAACGCGATGCAAAATATATGACCTTTACTTCATGAGAGTAGTCTTTATTAACACGCTCATCCAAAATTCAAGTATACTCAAATATCCAAAGTACCATAATCTAACAATATGCGTAATTTAATGACATGAAGGTCTTCGATATGCTAAAACATGCATGTTTTGATGCGTAAGAACTAAGCATGCATATTTTAATATATCAAATCCAGCAGTTTGGAAACATGAGAAGGCCAAAGTTAATAACATCCGAGTCCTAAATGCCTCACTCATTCGCGACTAAATCTAGTGATGATGGAATCTAGCAAGGCATTCGAATGGATTTTACTTAACACTAATGCTCGGAACTAAAGGAAATCCGAAACCGATCATACCTTCAACGAGAAGAGATAACATGCAATGAGGCTCCACGACAACTAATGGCGATTTTGCAGTAACTGGATGAACGTCCTGGCCAGCAGTGTCAGGTTTGCAATGGGAAGATGAGCTGCGGCAATCCGCTTAGATCGGGTCCTATTTGGATAATGATAACGCACGTCCCTTGCAGTGCAAGCAAGACAAAGGCAGCAAGGATGATGATTCGGGGGAAAGTGGCGATGCATGATCGCGTCCAAGATAAGACAGCGTCGTAATCAAGAGGATGAGGCGGTCACCACGAGATTGCTCTATTCAGGGAAGATCTGGTGTGGAGGTGAAAGGAAGAGTATTTGTGTGATGTGTGCAGAATCTGATTGATGCTGAAGGGTTTGTCTTCCCCGTGATCAGTGAGCAATGCGAATGTGGGTGAGATCATCGTCATGTGGGCGTTAAAGTGCCTGTCTCCTCTCATGACTTGACCTCGGAAGTTCAACAGAAGAGAATGCAAAAGACTAGAGCATTTTCTGAAACTCAGTTATGATATAGAAAGAAACTGGATGAGGTAACAAGCATTCAATTCCATAACCCATTGTTCTTAATATCAAAAAATGCTAACAACTGTGTACCGAACGAAACTGGGTTGTGCAAATTGAGACGAAAGTTTTCGTCTTCAATCCTGATCCTCTCTGTATGTCATTGCTTTTTTCATATTGAAACTGTTATAGCTGCCAAATCACTTGTCCAATAGTACTCTTTGTAGCAGCTATCTGTTCATAATATTGTACATCGATAACCGTACCTGTTACATACAACTGAAGTAGATTACCTTAGCAACATCTATGGTAAAGCTGTATACTATACACAAAAGCGCAAGGCCTCGATGCTTTGTGACATTGCCATCATCAAGTCCTAATAATCTGCAGCAAAATCCAGGTCCACAGGTTTCTGTATTGTGTTCACAGCATCAGAAGTTGACCCTGCTTGTTGATTCTCATCCCTTCTGTTGCTCTCTATCAGCTTCTTTGCGTACACGTCCCAAAACAATTTTGAAGGTCTCAACTTGCCATTCGCACCATCTTCACTCTCTCTTAGCTCAGCTTCCTCCTTCAACTTTTTATGACGGCGCCACGCAGATTGAATGAAACACGCAGCCCATGTACGCCACTGGTGTGAGTAGAACCTAAACTTGTGCCTCAGTTCTTTGCTGTGTAGTCTTCTGAATTGCGATGCGACGAACTTTAGGTCCGCAGCAGCAAGAGAAAATGCTTCCACTTCTTTCACAGCTTTGACCGTGCGGGTGGAAGAGGGGAGGACAATGCTTGGGCGTGGGTCAAGGGCCCATGTTAGCAGTTCTTCGCCGCAGAAGTCACCGGGAATTAGACGACTTGAGTTGAAGAATCCTACACGTCCACCATTGGTTGTCCAGGAATCAAGGTGCCCCCGGAACAGGAAGAACATTTCTTGGACTGGATCCCCTTCGCGTACTATGTACATGTTCCCTGTGCACAAAACAGGCTTCAGCCTCTCACATATCGCGTCTAGCATCCTCTCATCCATTTGATTGAAAAGTAGCACCTGTTTATTCAAGATGTAGACGAAGAGTTGGTTTTCTTTGGGAAAGAATTTCACTAGCTGCTTCCACAATGAAAATTATACTGCGACAACTGATGCAAAGAAGCACATGTGATTAGACAGCTTACGCGTCGAACTAGATCAAAGCAAAGATGGCGCTTGATATTTCTGTGCATGTCCAATGGGAAGTCCTGGAGAAGGGATGGTTCGTCGACACCTCGAGTTGACACCCACCTGTATTGGTCGTACATCCGAATAGACTGTCTCAGTTCTGGAGGTAGATGTCTATGGTGCATCCATTGCTCCGTATCTGTCCTTTTGAGCCTCCATGTCTCTAATTGGCTGTTCGTAGTTTGAAGGTATTGCTACCAATAAAAAATGAAACAATATTTCACCATGATAACGGGCTGTGTGCTTAAAAAGTAACTGAGAAACCACGCAAAAAAACCTTCCACTATCAAACTACAGTTACATGGTAATGAAGGTAACGATATCGAATTAAGAAAGGCATGGATTGAAATCCCCTAACTAGACCACCATCCGAGTAAACTCAAGATGATTCGGTTGCTTACTTGCATATTTCCAAGGAGGAGGGCAAATAAAACAAATCCAAGAGTTGCAACGGCAATTGTAAAAAGTAATTCTGCGACATAAGTGGTTGCTGTATATTCAAGGTTCTGGCCTACGCAGCTGTCAACATGGATTAGAAGAGAGCCTTGTCAGTGATGGACAAAAATCACTCAGCATCAATACTAGTCAGTGAATTCACACTTCCGCAAAATCATGCATTCATAATTCTTTCTGTCATTGAAAAACAAAAAGATTACATTATATTAGAGATTCAGTTTTAATAGGAAGTAGAGAGATGCAGGGATCTCTCAAATGCAGAAGTTAGGAGATGGAAAACAAACAATTCATGCTTCGTTCATACGAGATGTATAAGATGATTTTCTCGATGGTATTGACTTCCTGTATGCTTTAATCAACCGGCGCATTGTTAATTTTCATTGTTCAAACTTAAAGCAATGACCTGTAACCATTCTAAAATAGCAAATCGTCCGTCAGTCACAGTAGATAGGCAGTACTGATCATACCTCAAGTTGTTCACACCCCACCACAAACAGTAAAAGTACTTGCTGGAGAATTTGCAGCTTGCTAAAGAAAGAGTCATAGCAGTGGCATATATGCCAAATTGAATGGGGCCACTAGCGTTAGTTCCGTTACACAGAGTTGTGACATTGGTTGACCCATACCAGGTGACCCTACCAGGGTCTTGTGCGTAGCGACACTCAAAGAAATTGTACTGACACGAAGGATTTTCTTGATCACAGGCCAACCTCCAGCAAGACTGTTGTCGCCCAATTGATAGAAGATACCAGCTAGCTCCTGAAACCTATCAATGTAACATGGAAACAAACTGGTCTTTCAGCCGCCTAATGAGGACCGTAATTGCATAACCTTTTATCAAACAAGAGGAGCCAAACAAGACCATAAATTTATCTCCTGAATAGATCGAGACAATGAATCAAAGAAGCATGTCACAGACCTATTAATGGACACTCAAGCACAAATAGAAAAATGGAACGACTATGTGGATCAAAAGACTCTGTATGGCTTTGTTAAATCTGAATTGCTTCCACGAGCAAGCTGAAAGTACTGAGAAATTTGCCTGTTTAAATGCATGTGCTCTTGGACTAAAGATGAGATTTTATCATTGTCAATGAACTTCAAACATCGCCAAAATTTGTTTTGGACACATTGGAAAAGTCTCATTCCTCGCTTGGGAACGCGAATTTAAAAAGAAGGCCTTGCTACTCTTACTTGGCTGCCCAACAGGTAGAGCATCAGGTTGAATGCAGCCCCTTCCCATGCTTTCTTTGCTAATCCACCACCGGCATTACTAATTTGCAACCGGAGTGGAAGTATAAGATAAAGTCTTGGTATGTACTGAAGGAAGATGATGAACAGGAGCAAGTTCTTCATTTTTGTCGTGGTCGAACCCGCAAGGCTAGGAATTATTGCCCAGATTAATACCTGAAAGGACAAATTATGATTAGTTCCAGCGATTGCTTCATGGTAATTAACAGCTGTAGTCATACTTGAACAAAAGGATGGAACCTGAGGAAGAGGGAGTGCCACATAGAGATCGATCCAGAAGCGGCTGCGCAAGTATCTCAAGGCAATCTTTCTATGATCTATTACAAGCTCTCCTCTTCCAAATACACGAGAAGAGGGCGCAACAAAAGCTGTGTTAAACTGAACAATGATTTGAATAATGTAAAAGGCATCTGCTATCGATCTTACGACTGTCAGGAGGATCTTGAGGTCAATTCCATCATGCAAGCACAGATAGTTGTTGTTGACCGACGGCACGAAAAAGAAAAGAGGGTCCACAAATAGACAGAACAGGCAAGCCATCAAGAAGATTTTGTTCCATCCTCGAACGGTTTTCCCTCTCGGATCAAAAGTCTTATTCTTCACTTTCTCATAGTCCTCAGAGAACACTCTGCACAGAACTTTGGATTTCAAGTATTCACCAGCCTTCTGGCTGGTACTCTTGATCAAGGCCCAGTTTTGGCTCGGGGAGTCCTCCTTCGGATATCGGTCGCTCAAGCCGTGCCGCTTCACCGTCGGCAGTCCCATGCAAGTGGATTCATCTCCTACTCTGTATTTTATGCCTATCAGAGTTATGCCTCCAAACATGCAATTAAGATGTTACGCGCGCGCGCAGTCACAGATAGGTAATGAACATTAAATTGGAAGCATTTTGGTATGTCATCCACTAGTTTCTTGTTAAGAAACATGGACTGTTGAACTATCATTGGTCATAAGATCTTTTGAAAAGTTAAAGCACTAGAAGTTTCCCAGAAATTCAAGAAAAGAGAGCTTTTTACCTTACAAATCTGGACCTTCTATTGCCACCGGCCATTTTTGCACTCTCTGCCAATTGTTCCTACGAATTAGTATTCATTCTTGTTGGTTCAATGAGGCCTCGAGCAACTGCAGAGACAAGCGTTGAACTAACAAAAAAAGTAACTGCTTCGATCTGCATATATATTCTCAACAACAACAATAATGATGATAATATTTCTTTGCTTGCTTGCTTCGCCCGACAAGATAGCGAAAGAATTAAAAAGAAAACATTGTCAAACACGGGCAGATGTTAGCAGATCGAATGCATCTGTCATTGCACACATCATATTTTAACTCTTCTTGGGTCATGAAAGATTTCATTCAGGAAGAAAAATATCGGGAAATTCTATTCGTTTTTTTCTTTTTTCTTTTTTCTTTGCTACAAGGTCCTGGAAGAATTCCAAATGCCATGAGGGTTTTACATATAATGATCCATTTACGAGCCGAAAGCAACAGGAATGGTTCCACCTGGACCAGCAAAACTGCTATTTCTTTTCCGTTTCTTGTACTGAACCTGAAAGGAGTTGACAAAGGTCTTTAGAAAACTGAAAAAAAGGATGACTGCTCTTGCATCAAAGTCTAAAGATGCTAGGAATTAACCAAGTCAGATACATCTGCATTACTATTATCATAATCTTGACATGTGCTCCTCTGGATCTAGCACGAGACGATGCTGATGTTTTCCTTTTTTTCACTTCAGAAGAATATTACACCCGAATGTCATACGTTGCTACACAGAACTCAATCAAGTATTGGACCTCTTAATTGTTCCTAAAAGCTGTTTGTCCGATAATTATGTGTACTTATTAGCATCTGTAATTAGCTCAAACGAAGTAGGCCTTGAGTCGTGTTGATCGCTTGGTGGCAATTCACTGCATTTCATTACATTAAGAGTATGCTTTCGTTCCGTAAGCTGTTTTTTTTTTTTTGTGGTCGAAATTCCGTAGGCCGTTAAAATAGTGCAAGAAAGTCAAAACAAAGGTTTGGTTCCATTGGGCGTCTGCCAAAACATTACATCAGACAGTTCGGATGCATTCTGTGGACTTTTCTGGGATTGGCCAATAGGAACAGGCCAGATTATGCGTATTTATAAGTCCAACTATCGCATATGACCCAAAAATAAAAGTCCAACTGTATTTCCTGATGTCATTTAATTCGTAGTGCATCATAATAAGATGTTGCTTCTTTCCTCAGTTAAATTTGAGTCAAGAAAAAGAAAAGAGTTGACTTAGGCAATAATGAAGATCACCCAGTTCACATTCACATGTCACGGTTGCTTGTAAGCCAGGCTTATCACTGACTGAATGTGATTTGAACTAGATATACGTTCTTCTTTTTTAAGTCCTTTCTGACTGATAAGGTTGGGAATGATTCTCCTTCGTTATCTAAATCGAATTGAAGACCCGAGCTTGAATCGATACCAAGTTTGAAGAAATTATTATAATAAAACACAGTCAACTATATTGGATCCACATGCCGAGGTATAGTATGACTTATATTCGATCCAACCAGGTAGCTATCGGCAGGCATGACATGAGAGATGGAAAAAATCATTTTTTTTTCCTGAAAGAGGATGCAATATCACGGTAAGCAATCTCGATGATTAATTTGCAACAATGATCCAGCACGGTCAAAAGTCGATCTCTCAGCAAATAAACTGAGAAATACATCCCCAAGCCTTATTGTCTTTTCATTTTTCCCTACTAAGGTGGCTGAAAGGTCATCTTGTATCAGCATGCTTTGTTTATCACAAGACAAAATCCAAATCTCTTTTCTTAAAATTTAGAGTTTCGCGTGACTTCACTGAACTCTAATTACTCATCACCAATGCACTAACCTTTATAATATCATTCAGTCAATGACATCTTCCAGTCATATCTCTCCTGTCAAATGTTAACTGGCCTAGCTAACTCTAAGTGATGTTCTTAAGTTTGATGGACATGTGGTGCTCATCTGATATTCAATTTGCATAACGTCATCCGATTTTTCTTTTTTCCTATAAATAACTAAAGAGTTGGTCAGCCAGTATGATCATTTTCTGTTCTGCCAATATTTCTCTAATATGTGTTGCTTATGTTTTTCTTTTAGGCGAACATACATATTATTTACAAACTGAGGACAAAGGAAGGAAAAAGAAATTTGATTCCCATTCACAAGAAGCTATGATGCATACTCTGCTCACTGGATGACCACAAGGTTGTGGCTAACTGAACCAAAATTATCAGTTTTCAATCTGAATCCACCATGTGACGTGTCTATGTTGATTCTGATAGATTTCATAATGTTCTTGTGAGAGCAACAACAGTCTATATGTAAAATTGTACACCAATGTTTGGTAAAACTGAAGGAGAGTACATATCACTGAGATCTACAGCCAAGCTCTATAATATGCACAAAAGGTGCAGGGTTTCAAGGTGAATCCTAGTTTGATTATGGTAGTATTGCAGTCAACATTTCCTAATATTCTACCGAAAAATCCAGATCCACCGGCTTTTGCACTGTATTCACCACATTGGAAGCCGACCCAGCTTGATTATTCTCATCCCTTCTGGTGCTTTCTATCAGCTCCATTGCGTACACATCCCAGAATGACCTCAAAGGTGTCAATTTGCCGTTCGAACCCGCCAGACCAGCCTTGGGCTCTCTTGACTTGGTCTCCTCCTTCAACTTCTTATGACGGCGCCACGCGGATTGAATGAAACATGCAGCCCATGTGCGCCACTGGTGCGAATAGAACCTGAACTTGTGCCTCAGTTCTCTGCTATGTAGGCTTCTGAATTGCGTTGCCACGAACTTTAAGTCCTCAGCTGCGAGAGAGAAAGCTTCCACTTCTTTCACTGCCTTGACATTGCATGTGGACGAGGGCAGGACAATATTCAGCCGCGGGTCCAGGGCCCACGTTAGGAGTTCCTCACCGCAGAAGTCACTGGGCCCCAGACGGCATGAGTTAAAACCCGTGTGGCCCCCGTTGGTCGTCCAGGAATCAAGATGGCCCCGGATTATGAAGAACATGTCTCGTATCGGATCACCTTGGCATACTAAGAACATGTCTTGTGTGCACAAGACAGGTTTCAGCCTCTCGCATATGGCATCGAGCGTCCTCTCATCCATTTGATTGAACAGTGGCACCTGATTGATTCATTATAGATGAAAATCAGTCCATCTCACGAGGGGAAAAAAATCCATTGTCACTTCCGAATCTCCTAAGAATATTGGTTTTCACTTTCAAAATTGGAAGTGCTTGTTATTAGTGTACTTACACGTCGAACTAGATCAAAGCAGATATGGCGATTGATCGCTCTGCGCAGGTCCTTTGGGAGGCCTCGGAGAAGGGCTTGTTCATCAACGCCTTGAGTTGTCACCCACTTATATTGGTCATACGTCCGAATTGATTGTCTCAGCTCTGGAGGTAGATGTCTATGATGCATCCACTGTTCTGTGCCTATTCTGTGGATCCTCCATTGCTCTAACCGGATGGTCGTAGATTGGATGTATCGCTAACAAGAACAAGTGAAGGCATATTTCGTGAAAATGATTAGAAGACTAGTGGGAATCCTTGACTGTTTGATAAAATAATTGCTACAGAAACCGCACAAAAGTTTATCAATAGTGAACTGTCATTGTTAGAGATGAAGGCAATATTTTTCAAAACATTGAGTAGGCTCAAGATGCTTTGATTGTTTCAAGAATCAGAACATAATTGGTTGAAAGAGAGCAGTGAGAAATACTTTAGCAAATGTTAATGGAGCTTACTAGCATATTTCCAATGAGCAGTGTTAACAAAACTAGCCCAGTAGTCGCGACCACGATAAGGAAAAGTTCTTCTCCAATATAAGTGGCTGGCACAAGGTTCTGACAAACATCGCTGTTCACATAATAGAATAGGGCGTTATCAGCCATGACAAGCAAATTAGTTAGCGGATGTAGAACTACGATTTTCCTGCACTTTCTAAAATCACGGTGTTGTTTAAATTTAATGGTAAACCGGAATCCATGTACATACCTCAAGTTGTTTAGACCCCACCAGAAACAGAATAAGTACTTGCTGAAGAATTTGCAGCTGGCGATTGATTCGGGCACGAAATTATAGTATACACCCCATTGAACCGGGGTATTAGGATTGTTGTATGTACACAGAGTTGTTAAATTGGCCATCTTATACCAGGTGTCCCTTCCTGGGTCTTGAACATGGCGACAATCGAGGAAATCGTACCTGCACAGTGGTTTTTCCTGATCACAGACACTTCTCCAGCAAAACTCTTGTCGCTCGATCGCTAGCAGATACCAGCAAGCTCCAGCAACCTATCCATTTGAAATCACCTTTTTAAAACGTGGTAAGTCGATTTCCAGAGTTCAAGAAAATGAGGAAATCTTTCTCCGGTAGCTACCTTTTTCATTAACCGAATACAGTAAGCAAGGGAGACTTACATGGCTTGCCAACATGAAGAGCATGAAGTTGTATGCGGCCCCTCCCCAAGCTGTCTCTGTTAGTCCACCACTAGCGTTAATGATCTCCGACCGGAGTGGAAGTGTAAGATAGAATCTTGGCAGGTACTGGAAGAAGATAAAGAACAGGATGTGGTTCTTCCTTTGAGCCATCGTTGAATCCTCGAGGTTTGGAATTATTGCCCAAATTAACAGCTAGAATGAAAATTCAACAACAATCAGTGCCAGCCATTGCTTAATAGTATTAACAGCTATGCTTAACTTATAGACAGTACCTGAGGAAGTGGAATTGCCGCAAAGATGTCGATCCAAAAGCCTCTGGACAAGTATCTTAACGCGATCTTTTTCGAGTCTATAACCAGTTCTCCTCTACCGAAAACCCGGGAAGAGGGTGCAACGTAAGCTGTTTTGAAGCGCACGAAAATCTGAACTGCGTAGAAGGCATCAACCACTGATCTTATGATCGTTACGAAAATCTTGAGGGTCGATGCATCTTCTAAGCACATATTGTTGCCGTCAACAGACGGCACCAAGAAGAAAAGAGGGTCCACAGTTAGGGACACCAAGCAAGCCATAAAAAAGATTCTGTTCCATCTTTGAATGGTTTGGCCTCTCGGATCGAAGATATTGCTCTTCACCCTCTCGTAGTCCTCAGAGAATACTCTGCGCAAAACTTTCGCTTTCAAGGATTTTCCAGTCTTCTGGTTGGTAGTTTTCGAGCCCGAGTCATGGCACGCAGCGTCCTCATTTGATACCTTGCCTTTCTGAATTCTTGGGATTTCTTCCAAAAGTGATTCATCTCCTACTCTGTAATTTCAATGGAAGACTGTTAAGAAGCAATTAATCCATATGTTTCACACACACACACCTCGCACACCCACACAAATAGGTGATGATGTTAGATGTTGGAGGCTGGAGGCTCCACGAAAAACTTTCCCTTTGCATGTTCATATCGTTAAATTCTCTTCGGAAGCATAATGTAATTTATGGAACTCAGTTGTCAGCAGATGTTTGAGCAGATGCTAATCAAAACTTTCCCAGAAATTCAAGAAAATAGAGTTTACCTTCCAAATCTTGCCCTTGTACTGCGATAGCCCATCATGAATTATTTCTGTGACTCGAATCTGTGATACAAGAAAGCCAAGATTTCTGTGTCTGCAGAAACAAGCGTGGAACCAACAGATGATTACAGCATCTGTATTCGAAACCGCAAGATTAATAATAATAAAATACAGTAACATCTTATGCTTGGCCAAAATAAAATAATATCTTATTGCCTGCTTGCTTGCATAAGGCATGACAACATAAAGAGACCTCAAACACTTGCTTTAATGGGAAAAAAAAAGGAGGAAGCTTTATGAACTCTCCAACCTTTCACAGTATAAAAGTTAAAGTCAAACATGTTCATAATCAATATACGTCTCTTTAGAATTGTTTTTTGCTTCTTCTAATTGAAAATTTTCATTCTACCAAGAAATAATTTGAACTGATAATACTTTCTAACAGTTTTCTATATTTTTTCGATCTTCCGTGTATGAGGAATCCTGAAGAATGACAGCTGCCATGTGGGTACGAAAAGCATATATGAATCATGCCAGGCTGAAAGATATTTATCTGACTGCTGCCTATAATTTCTCTTCTTGCACTAAAAATACTCAAGGACTACTGAGATGGAGGCACAATAGGTTGTGCACCCTAGTGATAAATCACTAATGTATTAGCAGAAGAGTTCTCCACTTCACCCGCTACACTTCAACAAATCTATCCCAGTCCTCTCTCTAATGCTTTCTTTTGATGGAAATTATATCGTTCCTGAAGCACGTGACATAGGATAGGACGACGGGCAGACGATACACGCCACTCGCTTAGCACATGATTAAGATGAACTTCAACAGACGAGGGCTTCGACTATAAGAATTTGCCGAAAAACTACAGCGAGCTGTGAAAGTGTGGGGATAAAAGAGACGAACCCCAAGAGGCATACCGTAAGTCTTTCCCCATTAAAAAAGATGAGAGATCCTAGGAGTTGACTTGACTGCCCAAGATACATTTCCATGACTCTGCAAACCTTGACCAGCGTCCCTGGGCATCTGAGGGAGGTGTTTTTCCCTTTCCTCGGGAAGGTCACATCTCAGCAAATGAAGGTTGGGTTGACCTCAGGTTTGTTCTTTGCTGTCCTACTGTTATTGTCTTTTAAGTAATGTGGAGAAGGTCGGCCTAATTGCCGATGTAGCGCTGAGTCGGTATCCAGTTGATACTGCCTAATCACTAATTATTGGGAAAAACAAGCGACTAATTATTATGAAAAACAAGCGATTGAACAATAAAATAAAATGAACAAGGAAATAAATCCAATACCGAATTTATATGATTCGGCCAATGTGACATATTTTACGGGAAAAAAGCATATGATTCCACTATAAATCAGGTTATGCATCGGAGATTACAATTACACTTGAGTCACTCAAGTAATATCAATATTTTCTAATCCCCCAATTACACCCAATAACTCACATAATATTTAACCATCATAATTTCTCGCGAAATAATTTCTCAATCTCACAAAGGAATTCAATTATCTTTTACCACAAAACTTAATGGATTTAAAACGATTTTTACGGCCAAAAGCTCCTTAGCCCACAAATGAACAAAAACCAACCAAAATCCACCTCTTAGTATAAAGTTCCAAATTCGTATGTTCATTGGATAAAGGCCTAACATCCCAAATAGGAAATCTCTTATGTGAATTCAATTTTCGCTAACGGACTCAAACTCGAGATATATTTTAACAATCTCCACCTGGCTCGATGTTTGAGTTGAGTCACAATCATTTCGTTGGAACCAAACTTCCCTGCTAGTCTCCCATAGCCCCACACTTCTCCATAACTGTGGACCTCATCAGAACATCAACTTTACCTGCAACTTTAACCACTCTACAAAAATCTCATTAATCACAAATAAAGCAAAATCACCATTACATCCATATATGCCAGGATAACAAAAATGCACCCTGTCAAACTCAGCAATTATGGCAACCATTGGCTTTATAGCCTCCACCTCTCTATATGCAATGTTTGTGCTTATTACCGTGTGAGCACCCGCTACCTTAAAAAATTTATTGTTGCAACTTCACCTCGTGTCGGACACTACCAAGATCCATATAAACACCGCCACAATTACTCATATCCAGAAGTATTGGAGTCTCATCCAATGTAACTCCTCTACTGAGAATCGATGAATTTAATTTTAGACACCACAACCAATAGACCTGCTCACCTATAACCTAGGAATATGCATTTTCTTGCCCTCCTATCGAGCTTACCACCATTCATTCGAACATAACATGGGCAATCAAATATTCTAAGAACATTAATTAACAACATTACTTGACCGCAGTTTCTCGTGAGTCAAACATTCGAGAGTAATCGATGGGGATTTATTCATTTGTTAGCTCGTCGCACTAAGCGCATTCACTAGGATTTTCCTAGCCATATCAGCACTAGAGAGCATTTTATAGATCATCTTTGATAATGTTATGCTCATCAACTCTCCAACAAACTGTGTTTTAATGGCACTAGTGCGATGTCTTACTATGCTTTCCTTCATATATAAACAAAATTACAAACTACTGTGAGTCCGCTCATGCTTGATCGTTCTACCATAGCTCTCAACTGTCTGATCCTGACAATTCCTAACAATAGTATCAAACTTGTACTTCAACACAAATACCTAGGTACTCCTTGAGTAGTCGTTCATAACTGTTAGAGTAAATCAAGCATTCTTCCTTGAAGGAAATTGCGACAACCTTCGAATATCCAAGTGAATCAATTTTGCAATCTCTACCGTTTCTCTAACACTAATAATGAAATGTACTTTTTGCCATTTGCTTAAGTCACAACACTTGCATATTTAAGCTCAATTTGTTAGTCATATGACCACACGGGAGATTTAATTTCACTTAAAACCGTCATGCTTCTTTCGTTAATGCACCCCAAAATGCATATGCCACAATTCAAACTTTTAAATAGACGCATCTAAGGTCCGTTATTGTCTCCTTTGAAGCTCATACAAGCTAATGTACTTGACTCCTCTTATTATCACCACGGCACCTTGATAGATTCTGAGGACTCCACCTCTTGAAGTATCTCGATATCCAACGTAACCCAATTCATTCAAGGAAATCATGTTCCTCTTCAATTCCAGAACATGTCTCACTCCGGTTGATGTCCTCACTATATCATCATGTATTCTGATTCTAAAATTTACCAAACCCACTACATCGCACTCAACGTTGTTCCTAAATTGCACTTTACCACTATCTGTGTACTAATAAGTGATAAACCAGTTCTTGTGTTTTGGTATAGCATGAAAGGAACAATCAAATTCATAACCCATTCCTCAAACGACGAATCCTTAGCGATTGATGAAACATATTCATCATTACCAAGGCACTATTGACTAATGTAGCAATATTATTGGTAGACTCAACTCTAATTCTCTTACTTTTATTATTCTGCAGTTTAAGGCAAATCCTTCCGAGATGTCCCCTCAATAGACATCACCACCAGTCCTAGACTGATTACATCTATTCTCTTGTTAACACAAGTACTAGTTCTTCCTTTACCTTTATTTATTAAACCAATCTCAACTGAACTCTATTGATTAATTAGTATCTTGAATCGATTGATATACTTGGCATCCGATACACCTTTATTGCGTCAAGTGGACCTTGTTGATCGCTGCTTTTCATATATGTTTGACAGGGCATTCATTAGTCCCTCGATATTCTTCTCTTTCACGATGTTATATGCAACACTACGAGCTAACTTCAACCGAAACACCCACACCTGTCTATCTAGCAAATCTCAATCAGGTTGCTTCATGGACTCTAGTTTCTCTCTAGATAGGGGTATGTGCTGGTTTCTCCCGTACAAATAATCTTTGGTCTGCATCTTTCAAAAATCAAAATCGTTCCCATCAATTATATTGATTTCTCACTTTTCCTACTTTTGTCACCATCAATTCACTTTAACTCAGCCAATCCTAAATCCGATAACAATTGTTGCGAAAAATAAGGGATCCAACAATAAAATAAACTAAATAAGGAAATAAATTAGATACCGAATTTACGTGATTCAGCCGGTGTGACCTGCTTCACAGGAGAGCAGCACATATTCCACTATAGATCAAGCAATAAGCAGATATTATAATCCCACTAGGGGAAAAGTGCCAAAAAAGTCCTAAACCTTTTGCATTAGTGCCAATTTAGTCCTAAATCTTTTTTTAGTGCTAATTCAGTCCTAAACCTTTTGCATTGGTGCCAATTTAGTCCTAAACCTTTTTTTGATGCCAATTCAGTCCTAAACCTTTTGTTTTTGTGCCAATTTAGTCCTTCCGGTCAATTTTGACCGGAATTTGCCGACGTGGACGCCTGCTGGCCGGCGGCCGGTCACCGGCGCCGACGTGGACAATTTTAATAATATTTTAATATTTTTTTGAATTTTTATTTTTTTCCTTTTTTTTCTTTTTTTTTCCACTTTTTTTTTTGTCTCTCCCTCCTTCCTCTGGCCGGTCACCGGTCCGGCGACCGGCCAGAGGCCAGAGGCTGGCGAGCTCGGCCTCGCCGGCCACTAGCGAGGGCGGCCTCGCCCGACCATGGCGAGGCTCGCCCTCGCTGCGGCCTCCGGCCGAGGGCTCGAGCCTCGCCATGGTCGGGCGAGGCGACCTCGCCGGATCCGGCGAGATCTCCGAGCGAGGCTCGACCTCGCCGGATCCGGCGAGGTCGGGCCTCGCCCGACCATGGCGAGGCTCGCCCTCGCTGCGGCCTCCGGCGAGGGCTCGAGCCTCGCCCAGCGACCTCGCCAGATCCGGTGAGGTCGGGCCTCGCCCGACCATGGCAAGGCTCGCCCTCGCCGCGGCCTCCGACGAGGGCTCGAGCCTCACCATGGTCGGGCAAGGCCCGAGCTCGCCGGATCTGGCGAGGTCGAGCTCGTCGGCCTCTGGCCTTTGGCCAGTCGCCGGACCGGCGACCGGCCAGAGGAAGGAGGGAGAGACCAAAAAAAAAAGTGAAAAAAAAGGAAAAAAATAAAAATTCAAAAAAAATATTAAAATATTATTAAAGTTGTCCACGTCAGCGCCGGTGACCGGCCACCGGCCGGCAGGCATCCACGTCGACAAATTTAGGTCAAAATTGGCCGGAAAGACTAAATTGGCACAAAAACATAAAGTTTAGGACTGAATTGGCACCGATTTAAAAGGTTTAGGACTAAATTGGCACCAAACAAAGGTTTAGGACTAAATTGACACCAAAAAAAGGTTTAGGACTAAATTGGCACTAATGCAAAAGGTTTAGGACTTTTTTGGCACTTTTCCCATCCCACTCGAGTTATTCAAACACTCTCAGTATCTTTCAACCCCCAATTACAAGTATTAACTCACGCAGGCCCTCACAATTCCTCGTGAAACAATCTCCCAATTCACAAAATAATTCGCAAGTCTTAACACAAGAGTTGTTGGTTTCAAAGTACTCGCACTTTCTTCAGGATGTAGTTAATAAGCACATCGCACAATTGATTGTTAATGTTAAAAGCTCCTTTGCTCGGTAAAGGGCAAAAACCAACCAAAATCTATAGCCTACTCATACTAGGAATACAACTCGAGATAGGAAAATTGATATCCTTGTTTTGTTCCACAACTTGGTCCAATTTGTATTTTCTTTTTAATTTCCAAATTCGGATCATTGGATAAATGCCAGACATACCAAATCGGAAATCTCCTGAGTTAATTCAAGCTTCCGCTTATGGGCTCAAACTCGAGACATCTTCTAATACTAATTTCTTTTTTCTTTTTGACGAGGACTAAGGAGTTGGGCTACCAGATCGTTGTCCTTTAAGCAAATAAGTCTGTAACACGTAATGGATTATTTTCGTCTTTCATGACGAACATAAAGATTGGTTTCCATTCTGGCCAAGCGTGTATTGGAGTAATTACAGCTAGGAGATTATAGTACAACACCATGGAGATCAGATGCAAAACTAGAACGTTTGCATTTTCAATCAGGAACGATAATGCTGGTCTACCGCGGATTGTTGTTCCATGTTGGGAACAGTTCTAGCTTGGACTCTTGCTGATCTAATATACTCCATAATGTTGTTCCAGATCAATAACAATCCATCCCTATAATCATACACCAATATACAAATATTGAAGCACACCTTAGTTCTCTGATCAAGATATACATAGAAAAGTGCAAGGCTTCAATGCGCGTCTTAATAGTCTACAGAAAAATCCAGGTCCACTGGCTTTTGTACCATGTTCACAGAATCAGAAGCCGACTCCACTGGATTATTCTCATCCCTTCGGCTGCTCTCTATCAGCTCCCTCGCGTACGTGTCCCAGAACAACCTTGGAGAATTCGATTTTCCTGTCGCGCCATCCTTGTCGTCTCTTTGCTTAGCCTCCTCCTTCAACTTCTTATGACGGCGCCACTCAGATTGAATGAAGCACGCAGCCCATGTGCGCCACTGGTGCGAGTAGAACCTGAACTTGTGCCTCAGTTCTTTGCTATGTAGCCTTCTAAATTGCAATGCCACGAACTTTAAGTCACTGGCCGCGAGAGAGAATGCTTCCACTTCTTTCAATGCCTTGACTGTGCGCGTGGACGTGGGTAAGATCATGCCTTGACACGGGTCCAGGGCCCATGTTAGCAGTTCTTCACCACAGAAGTCCCCGGGGCCCAGACGACACGAGTTGAGGAATCCTGTGCGGCTGTCGTTGGTTGTCCAGGATTCGAGGTGGCCCCGGATTATGAAGAACATATCTTCGGTTGGATCGCCTTCACGTACTAAGTACATGTCTTGCGTGCACAAAAGAGGTTTCAGCCTCTCGCATATTGCATCCAGCGTCCTCTCATCCATTTGATTGAATAGCGGCACCTGTTTAATTCAGTTATAGATAAAGAAGAGTCAATTCACATTGAGAAAAAAATCCCTAGACTCTTCCAAATCTTCTGAACAAATTAATTTTCACTTGCAACTATGTAGGATTTCCTGGAATATACCAGACTTCATGCCTTGGAGAAGAAACAAAGAAATTAGCTGATTACTCATATCAGATACTACAATGCAAAAACCCAATTAACTACTACTATGCCTTCATTGTTTTCAATTAGCTACAGTAAAACAAACAATCAGAAATTCCTTCGAGAGGGCATCTGATGATAATCTCGATCTTATAGTCACACGCTTGTCGTTGATCCTACGTGTAGTCACACCCCTATTTAAGCCTTCTATTCACCTATACTTACTTATGAAACCCAAGTCTTCTAGCAAACTTTTCAAGCTATTTGTTGGGGCCCTGGTAGATGTAAATGTCCTCTTAGTATATCTTCAACGAGCCTTTTAAGGATCAAACTACAGAAAGCTGTTCGCAACAGGGCAGAAAAACGGCAGATATGATTAGCATGCTTACACGTCGGACTAGATCAAAGCAAAGATGCCGCTTGATCTCTCTACATAGGTCCACTGGAAGGTCTCTGAGAAGGGCTTCTTCATCGACACCTCGCGTTGTTGCCCACTCATACTGGTCATACGTCCGAACAGCTTGTCTCAGATCTGGTGGTAGATGTCTATGATGCATCCATTGCTCTGTATCTGTCCTCTTGATCACCCATTGGTCTAATCGAATGGTCGTGGAGTGGAGGTATCGCTGCCAATTAAAGGTAAAGGCATATTCTATCAAGATCATAGATTATGGTATGATAAGATTACCGAGTATTCTTGATTCTTAGAAATGAGGAACTTCACAAACCATGTGAAAATGATACCGTTGTTGATCCATCATTGCTAGTGATGAAGGCAGTATCATTGAAAAAAGGCATGGAATGAACCCTCTTAATAAATTGCTTTCCGGTAATAGAAAACATTGAACTCAAGATGCTTTGATTGATTTTCAGAGGTAAAATACAATTAGATAAATGGAAGCTGCCAGAATCTATATATGATGTTGCTTATTAAAATAAAATAAAAAAAATGGAAAGACATAAAGACAGTGTTGATAGAGTTTACCTGCATATTGCCAATGAGCAGTGCAAACAAAAGCAGTCCGTGACTGGCAAAGATGATTACAAAGAGTAGTTCACCAACATAATTACTCGGAAGAAGGTTCTGCCCTATATCACTGTTCACATGGATCAGAACAGGGCCTTGTCAGTGATGAAAGACACAACTATTCAATCTTATTTTGTTGTTAGTGAACGTGGGATTTACACTTCAGCAAATGCATGCATTCTACTTTTTGTCAATGAAAACATGAAGTTGAATGGTGTTAACCTTTAATCCCCACATTTTCACAGGAATCAGAGGCATGGAGCATCTCAAATATGCACTAAATATAGGACACAATCAGTTTCTTGAAGCTAAGTTCATGTGCAAATTGTCATACACCAATCAACTGGTTCATGATGAGTACTCATATCAGTATGGACACCATGTCAATACCTCAAGTTGTTCAGACCCCACCAGTAACAGAAGAAGTACTTGCTGAAGAACTCGGTGCTTGCAAGAGAAGTGCCCAGAATTGTTTGGTATACACCCCATAGAACAGGGGTATTGGCATTACTTGACTCACACAGAGCTGTCGAGTTGGTTGAACCATACCAGCTGGACCTACCGGGGTCGTTAACATGTCGACAGTCGAAGAAATCATACCGGCACAAAGGTTCTTGATCACAGATGACTTCCCAGCAAAACTCTTGTCTCTGAACAAAATTAAGGTACCAGCAAGCTCCTGCGACCTGTCAGATCACTCTTTCATACAGCTTAATCAGGATGAAGATTACAAGTAGAAAAAGAGCAAGTGCTGTTTTTCTCACGAAGTCAATTGAAAAAAAGGGTTTTACTGAAATTTACATGCGCGTACAACATGTAGATCAACAAGTTGTATGCAGCCCCGGCCCATGCTCTCTCCGTTAGCGCACCACTGGCATTAATAATTTCCGACCGCAGTGGAAGTAGAAGAAGAATCCTCGGCACATGCTGAAAGAAGATGATGAAGAGGAGCACGTTTTTTGTTTGTATTGTGATCGAACCCCCGAGATTAGGAATTATAGCCCAAACTAACACCTAGAATCAAAATTCTACAACAATTCAATACCAGCTATTACTTCATGGTAATTAACCGCTGTGCTTTAATATATTGATAGTACCTGAGGAAGAGGAAAAGCCGCAAACAGGTCAATGCAGAAGCCTCTAGACAAGTATCTTGACGCGATCTTTTTTGAGTCTATGACCAGTTCTCCCCTCCCAAACACCCGAGAAGAGGGTGCGACATAAGCCGTCCTAAACCGAAGGATAATCTGAGCTGCATAGAAGGCATCGAGCACCGATCTTATAGTCGTTAGGATGACCTTGGCAGTAAACGCATCTTCTATGCAGTAATTGTTGCTGTCGAGCGACGGCATGAAAAGGAAAAGCGGGTCAACAAACAGAGAGACCACGCAAGCCGTTAAGAAGATCCTGTTCCATCTATGAATGGTTTGGCCCCTTGGATCGAAGATGTAATTCTTCGCCCTCTCATAGTCCTCCGAGAATACTCTGTGCAGGACTTTGGATTTCAAGGATTTTCTGAACTTGGGGTTGGTATTCTTCAAGGCTGAGCTAAGGATTGGGACATCCTCCGTCGGTGTCCGGCCGGTCAATCCATTCCTCTTTGTTCTTTGGAGTTCTACCCCGAGGGATTCATCTGCTACTCTGTATTTTAACTTCAGTGTGAGCAATTGTTTCCAAACATGAAATTCACGTTTCACACGCACCCCCACAAACAAACAGCCTAACAGGTAATGTACATCAATGGTTGGAGGCATATGACAGAAGAAAAACCTCAGAATTGCACGACGATATGCCAACAAGTTTTGTGCAAAAACATGAAGCATGGACTATCCAACTATGATCAGATGTTTGCACACAGGCAAGTGCGAAGTTGCCCAGAAATTCGAGAGAGATTACCGTCCGGACCTCGACCTTACGCTTGTACTGCAACAACCCATTGATGACATGATTGTTTGTGGAGTGCTGGGCTCAAGCAACAGCTCCAGGCATTGAACCAACACAAAATGACTCCAGCTGCAGTTGAAACTGCACGAGTGTTGATGATGGCTATAATAACAACAAAATATATGAACGTCGTCTCATGATCATGGCTTGCTTGCTTCGCCAGGAACGATAGCGAAAGCGTTGGAAAAGAAAACCTTTGTGCAAGTTCTCGTCAGCTTGATGAACTTGTCCAGGCTTTCATAGCCGAGAAAGTAAAGTCAAACGTGTGCAGGCGTTCGCAAATCGATTGTATCTGTCCCGCATGCACCCCTCTGTGGTATTTGTTTATTTCACCTTTGACTCTTGAAAAACTCCTCTTGTTTTTTTTTTTCCTTAGCATGATAGAACTCGGCTCATGAAACACCCCGCAAGTAAGCCTAAATTCATCCGATCTTAAGATATTGGTACGGGGTGGTTTGGAGAATTTAGACCTATATCATGCATTTAATTTACACATACAAAAATCCAGTTTTTAAATATTAGGGCTTTGAGGAATTTGATACCGTGAATAAAATATTTTAGGTTAAAATTCTCTTTCTATCCGACAGTATTTCTTTTTCTTTTTCTTTTTCTTTTTTATTTGATTTATCTGTGCGGAATTTCGAAATATTTTATGCATGTGGGACCTAAACGAATTGTGCGAACCTGAACAAGCAAAAAAAATTTTGACAAAAAGAAGAAGAAAGAAATATAATAATCTCAAACATCGAATCAAACTTATGAAAGGTTCTATCAACCAGCTGATGTGGCAAGTTAAGGCTGATGTGGTGGCCATGTAATGCTGACATTGCGCCACGTCAACTGCAAATTTGGAGACTCGAAAATGAAAATTCAGAAGAAGCCTGCTTCCATCGTCTCTCCCAAACTGATATTCTCAATATTCATAAACATCAAAGTGTAAAACCAAAAAGGAAACAGAAAACATGTAGAGAGAGAGAGAGAGAGAGAGGGGGGTGGCCACTGATATCGGCTGTGATCCGACGAGACCAATGGTCGGCCCTCACTAGGGTTAGCATAAAACTCGCGAGCTCGAGCGAGGGAGAGAAGAACTTTAGTTATTTTCACGTATTAAGGACCATTGGGGCCCGGACGAGCCTTCGGCTTTTTATACGCGCTTGCACCTCAGCAGTCGGGAGGGCCTCGGTGACAAGCTCATCTTTTCGGATTGTTAGTCACGACCGAAAACAGGACATTTCGAAATAGATGTAGAATCCCGTGACGGTGGAAGCTCGAGGGAGGATCGCCAGACCCCGCCTTCCCGTCCTTTCGCCGAGCGGGGCAAAACGACAACCATTTTCGAAAGTTTCCTTTTAGTTTTTTTCCTGCCGATACGCTTTCTTGGGGTCACTCTTGATAAAATAAAGGGTCTCCATAGCTTTCGTAGGAGGAATTCGATCCCTTTTGTTTGGTGGCATTTGATGATCCTCGCAAGAGCGGCTGCACCGCACCTTTTATCGCCATGATGTTATTATATTCTTGAAGAAAAAATTATTCGAAGTATATATAATAAAGAAAATAAAGATTTTGATCCCTCATGTATGCGTCTTTCCAAAACTATATCTTAAAAACATTTTTAGTACGTTTGGTGGACACTCCTCTTCGATTGGTCCGTTGGACCTGATGTCATAGCATCTTCTGTTTTATAAATATAGATGTCATAAAGTATTATTTAAATTCCTAAATTAAATTTTCAGTCAAGCGAAAAGAGAAAAATTAACATAAATCAAGACGAGGATGACTGATGCATCAATACCCATATTTTATTTTATTTTTATTCCGGGGGGTACATTATTTAAATTTTATTTTTTGTTTGCTACTAAGGGAGTATGTCTATCTCTCCCGACATGCGCATATGCAAAATTATTATATAGCGTCGAATTTCAAAAATTAATATGTTATAAGTTGCGTAAGTCAACTCCAAATTAATTTTATTTTATTCTATTTTTTGACCCAAAAAAAAATTCCAAATGAGTACTTATTTCAAAATGCTTTCTAAGCCAGCTGTGCCTCATATCTTGCTTGTTTAGAATTAAGTTTAGGGTTAATACCACGTAAAACCCCAAACCGGTACATCTGTAAGAAATTTACCCCAAATTATTTTTTTTACTACAAAAAATCCCATACTGGTACACTTATGACAATTTTACCCTGAACTAATTTTTTGATCACCAAAAATCTCAAACTGGTACATTTGTGACAATTTTACCCCGAACTAATTTTTTGACCACTGAAAATCCCAAACTGATACATCTGTGACAATTTTACCCCTTTTTTGACCACCGAAAACTCCAAACTAATACACCTGTGACAAATTTATCCTCCATTAAATTTTACTATTAAATTGCCAAGTTTAATGACACATGGTAGTTGACAGATATACCAGTTTAAGGTTTTACCCTTCTATTTGTCACAAGTTTACCAATTTGTGATTTTTCGTGATATTAATCCAATTTAACGAATACTAACGGAGGGTAAATTTGCCACAAATATACCGGTTTGGGATTTTTAGTTGTCAAAAAATTAATTTGGGGTAAAATTATTATAGGTGTACCAATTTGAGATTTTTGGTGGTCAAAAAATTAGTTCAGGATAAAATTGTCATAAGTATACCAGTATGGGATTTTTTATGATCAAAAAAATAATTCGGAGCAAATTTATCACAGATGTACCAGTTTGAGATTTTTGGTGGTCAAAAAATTAATTAGGGATGAAATTATCACAGGTGTACCAATTTAAGGTTTTTCGTGATATTAACCCTTAAGTTTAAATGGTAATTACTTTTTATTTTCCGTCAAAATCAACAAAAAAATATGAATTAAATTTAAAAGAATTACGGAAAAAAAAACCTTAAATGTGAACCTAAATGTCGCCATTTGCATATTGTGAAAGTTTCAGATGTTTATGATTTAAAAAGAAATAATCATAATGCGTAATCGAGGTAAAAATCAAAAAGTAAAAGTTTATACAAACACGTCCTGTAGAAGCTGCTATCTGAAGATGAAGATGAGCTCTCGTTGTACTAACACAAGTCATGGAGTTCAGATATATAGCTCAAGAACTGGGAAGCCAGGGAAACAGGTAAATTACATGCATGCTCCGGCGACCCGACCCAAATTTTCTATCGAAAGATATTAGCATCTCGACATCTTTTCGTCTTGAAAAAGAATATATTACGGCTCGGCTTGCTATCTCTACGGAATCATACAAAAAACAAACGCACAAAAATGAAGTAAAACAGTGAAGCGAAAAGACGAAGGAGGTCTCAAGTCTCCTCGGATGCGGAAGCAGCTTCTTTCAAGCATGATCTCATGACCTTCCCGAGCTTCGAGCAGGCATCAAGGCAGAGCTGCATAGCCTGTTGTAAAATGCAACGTACAGTGCTTAATGACTTTCCATTTCCACAATCTCCGAAACAAAATGGAATCTATACAAAAATCATAAAGGCTAAAGTCGGGGTAAAGAGAATTGCTAAAGCACTAACTGCATAAGTACAAGCAAGACGCTAGATCAAAAGAATATTTTAGGGAACCGAAAATAAAAGTTCAGGTTTGAAATCCTTATCATGTTTGCCGATGCAAGAAACCGGAGACCTGAATGATAGAGATTTTACGTAAACATATGCTTGCTTACAAACTCTTTGCAACTGTTGCTACACGTTAATAATAACAAACGAAAGCAGCTGCCAATATGGACAAGCTGTCCAATAAACCGAAATACCTCTGAAAGCCAAATGGCCGAAAGTAGCTAAGGAAAGCAGCCGAGTAATGCGATAATAAATTCTACCTTACGTAGAAGTTCTTATAAGCTTTCGTGGGTTTATGTGCTTCCAATTTGGTTTCGACTGGTTTCATTCATAGGAAATGGCTCAAAAAAGAACTCGGAAATTCTAATTTTTTCATGCATATGTCCATTCAATTCAAAAAACAAGCTACCTCATTTATCCTAATGTCAATTTTTTCACTTCTAGGGTAGATTAATTGTAGAGGCAGTTCCTAAAGATTTTATACCCTTTGGGGTTGGTCAAACTTCAAGATTGACCAATTTGTCCAATACAGACTCTCTTACCTCATTTATCCTTGCACTTGACCATTCTCCTGTGACGGTTAGCTGGGTGACTTCGTAACGAGAAGGCATGCAAGTGATCATCAGACTGCCATCTTGGTAGCTTTCTTCTTCTGATATAGGGTCGATGACAAGATTTGGACCCAAACAAGACTGGCCATGAAACAAACATAGCAGAGAAAGGAACAAGGGGAGACTTAGATAAGCTAATGTTGTGAAAAATCTGCTGATGAACAAAAAGAGATCATGCCATTTAGTCAATAATGACTACATCCTAGGATACTTCACGCTAATTGAAAAAAAATCCAAGAACCCGAAGACATAACAATTAATAAGATCAAATGGGAAGAGTATCCACATAACCTAAAGAACCTAAGGTTTTCATGTGCCTAGATGCTGATCCTCAAAGTTCGGTCATGGTGAGATACCGCTCTAGCAATATTTTACAATCAGAAAGCATTTATTAGTTGAAGCTCCTCCATGCAGTCTCTCCCACTCTTGTTTATAAGCATTGGTTTCCAACCCACAAGTATTATGCATTACGTGTGAAGTGAAAAGCTTCAGTAAAGCAATGCATTTATCAGCTAATAAGATGCATACCACAGAAACAGCAGCTACAAGATCATACAGCATAATTCCAGCATCTGCCAAGGCAAGACTAGCACAAGATAGTACCACAGGGAAATCACCTAGAAACAAACATAAGATGGTCAGGATAAAGCTGCAAGCAGTGACATGGTATAAGCCACACAATATGCACAAGAATGCAAAAGAAGTTTCCGATACTCATTGCTCCATTTGTTCAAGTTCTTTTATTAGCATTCAATTGACAGGAAAGGATAACTCACTCCCGCCAGATTCCAAAACCAGTGCAAAGACATCAACAGTTGTCTTCGGAAAAGTTTCCAACCTAATTGCACCCTCCAAAGCTTTATGAAGCATCGACGAGGACTCTTTCTGATCTGAAACCTAATAAAACTTCTCAATAATTAGATACGAGAAATTGAGGCTGTGTGGGAATTACACAAAATTTGTGCACGTGATAATATCAACCTGCCCCCTAACTGCAGTGGCATAAGTTGTATAACTGACACTACAGTTCAATCGGCCCATGTCACTGTACATCATTGCCTTTTTACTTTCTCTGGGGCCAAATCTGAAACAAGACCAACACAGATGTTAAGTTTTCATTCCA